GGCCAGCGTGACATCGCTGCTCTGGCGAGCCAGAGCCGCACACGGAAACGCCGTTCACCTTCCCGCTAGTAAGCGGTCCCTATTTATCTACTTGCACCTGGGAGTGCTTTCGAACTGCTAGGTTGGCAGGCGCTGGGACCGAACAACAGGAGCGCACCTCGCTGCGGGGATTCGAACCGCCGACCTTTCGATCGGCAAGCCCTAGGTGCTGAGGCTTTTACCCACAGCGCCACCCGCGTCCCTACAAGAACTAACATAACATTTGCTAAAACACACATTAAAATAAGTCCAGGAAATTCATTCCCAAAAAAGTTTTCATTGTCAGTCAATGAAAGAATCATTGATGCACTAGTCAAAATGTGCTTAGTAGTACTACTTAATCAAATAATTTGGTTAAACAATTTTTGTCTGATGTATTTTAAGGCTGAAGTGCTCTAAAGCAACTAAACTAGTAAAGTGTAGCCAGCAAGAACCCTGCAGGCAATTGAGTGTGCCTTTTTCACTCCAGTTGGCTTCCTGGTCTGCCCAACATACATGAAGCTCTATTGCCGTCTGTTTCTGTCATTTTTATATGCTCTCAATTACATAACTAATCTCATTGAACTTGTAAACTTCAAGGGCTCCAAAAGTTCATGTATGCTTGAGGCCAGTACGACGAGAACATTTGACAATCAAGTAATGTAATTCCTGCTACAGTTCCTGAATCTTCCTGGAAGTTGAAGATTGGGGCAAACTGGGAAATTATGCATGGGTCTCAGCTGGCAGACAGGCGTTCACTGCAGGATTTGAAAAGGCAAAAACATAAAAATAAAAGTTGAAGCACTGAGTCTAAACACTACAAAGTCTTGTTTAGGAATAAGAGTGTGGAAGAGGTGTGCTTTTTCCCCTTAAGCAAGTTTTCATTACAATACAAATACATCTGTTTTTGAGAAAAAACATTTCACATATGTAATTTAAAAAGGAGGATTCTAATAAGGCAACACATTTTGTTCTATGGAACTGGTAATGCACATTCTTAATATGTGGAGCAGCAGCATTAGTCTAACCAGCAGTCAATCAAAGGATGACATTAAAAAGGAATGCTTTTGCCTGGTGCCTGGAAACATGTAATGATGGTGCCAGATGAGCCTCTTCAGGGAGAACATTCCACAAGTGGGAAGCAACCACTGAAAAGACCTGTTCTCATGATGCCACCCTCCGGTCCTCAGATGATGATCGCAGGGTCCAGGTTCTGCCTCAGTTTTATATCTGTTAAATAGAAATGTTGGCATGGATCCTAAACAGGGAGGAGGATGGAGACAAAACCAGTTGGTTCTGTTTGCCATTGGCTCTGGTTCTGACTTCCACCTTACCTGTACCAATGAGTCCCAGCAACCATTGACAGAAGATGTTTAGGAAGCAAGGTTAAAATCAAGCTACAAGATCCGTGCTACTTTGGAGCCATTCAACCATCCAAACTCCCCCCACAGATATCAGTCTACAGTCGACGTTGAACAAAGAAGTCTTTATATTGCTACATGTAGCCCATATTTTTATAGAAACAATGTCAGTCTGCTTTTTCTGGCTTATATGTCGCTTTCCTCCACCCTCGCCATCTGGCCACAGATTATTTTTGGATGAGCAGAATGGATGTACAAGCAAAAGTTACACTTTATCCCCATGACGCCTCCTAAAAGAATGGTTTGTTTGTTTTTTGTTTTCCCCCACCCCAACATAAATGATTCCCAACTGTCAGGTAAAAAGGCAAATGAAGTGGCTTTCACCTGTAGGTCGGGTTTATAAATCCATTTTGAGAATGTATGACATTAGGCTCTCACTAATTCTCACAGAAGCAGTACAAAGCATCTTTAAAGAGGGCATAATGTCCATTTATAAATTAAACCAAATGTTACAAGTTTGGAATAAGATACTTGGCAAAGCATGCCTTTCTGCATGTTGTCATGTCACTCCATTATTTTCAGGGTGTTTTTTTTAAAAAGAGCAAAAGCAAACAGACAAGAATGAATTAGGAATAAGAGGAAACTATTGTATTCACAGTCACAATAGCTTTGGTGATTTCAACAGGCTGAATGTTCACACGCAAGAGCAAAGTTCACACACGAGAGCAAAGTTTTTAACCCCCCCCATCTGTCTCAATGTGTTAAAAGTTATACAGTGGTACCTCGGGTTACAGATGCTTCAGGTTGCAGACTCCACTAACCCAGAAATAGTACCTCGGGTTAAGAACTTTGCTTCAGGATGAGAACAGAAATCATGTGGCGGCGGCGCGGCGGCAGCAGGAGGCCCCATTAGCTAAAGTGGTACCTCAGGTTAAGAACAGTTTCAGGTTAAAAACAGACCTCCAGAATGAATGAAGTTCTTAACCCGAGGTACCACTGTATGTATGTATAGAATAAATAGGGATGGAAGTGTGGGCATGTATGAAGTACATGCTATCAGAGAGTTTTCATTTTATTTTAACAGAACTGTTGATCATTCTTGGTCAAGACATCTTAGAGAATGGACACTGTTTTGCATCTCCTTGGGCGACTTCCATAGGAGATCCTGCATTGTCTAGTTCTGACCAAGAATAATCCAATAAGATACAGAAGAGTGATGTCCATTAATTTGGTCTACTCTGAGGAGGAATAGTGTTGAATGCCACCCATTTCACTTGCTTTTACAGCAAATACACAGAGATATGAATACAAGCCCCCCCCCAATTTATTTAATGCTTATATGTGACAATCTATCATTTGCCATTTGGCTTTTTGAGTAATCCTTTTTATGTAGATTATTTTGTGCTTTTTGATGGTGGCACAACTGTTGATAATTCATATGAAATGTTATGCTGCCTGGGATATGGCAGTCCTTAGATCCAGGACAGAAGGAATTATGTTCCTTGACTAGCATAGCAAAATACCTTAAACCAGCCTGCATAACTGTCTACCATCTAACAAGGCTTTGTAGCTGACGGTCTATTGCATCAGTGGAGTTGCGTCCTGGATAAATTCTGATTTTGAGCTCAGCTCAACAGTATTCACTAGCAAAGCATCCATGTTTCAAAGCTGCCCCCCTCCCATTAAAAAGTAGTGCTAGCAGATCATTTTAACCAGGTATGAAAGCATGTTATTTTTGAGAGGTTTTATAGATTAAGTGATCCCATCAACAGTTTTTTATTTTTTTTAAGGAATAGACGATTTGCTATGCTTACCAAAGATAAGTGGGGCTGAAAAAGAAAATTAATGTTATCGTTTAGATTCTGCAAACTCAGAATGATTCACAACCTCTTATAAAGATTACATTACAGATACTTGTTCGGGATCAAAATAACTTTTGATCCTGAACAGATGAAGAAAATGAAGACTTGAAAAGTCACATCTTCCAAAAGAACTGGAGCAAAATTTACATCCACACTCTTAAAAACCGTGCATAACCTGAGGCTCTAATTAGTATAACAAACTAGAGCTGTAATGCTGCAGAATGCTGCTCTGAAGATGTCATTTTGGCAAGATCTCTTGCTTATACATCTTGTGGTTCCTTGCATGAAAGAGGTGAAGCTTCCTGGCTTAAAGTTTTCTTAGGTCCTTATAAGAAACAGTAATGATCTGGGCCCTGAACCAGTGAAGGCTCCAGCCTGTTTCTGCTCTGCATTCTCTTCTGTTGCTTGGCAGAACAAGAAGCAAATGAATACATCCGTTAGCCACATATACACAAAAAGGAATAAGGGACTTAAAACCATCCAAGTGTGAAAACTAAACAACATTTCAAAAAGGCCTGTTCCAGACATCTCCAGACGTTGTGGGTGGATGAACAAAGACCTGTGCCAAAACTTTAATTGTCAGGCAAGCATAATTATTGGGGGGGGGGGATAACTTCCTCTGCCCTAACGATTCCAGGTGATCCAGAGGTCTATTACAGGCCAGTGAGTTGTTCAAAGACTATTTCAAGGAGTATAACAACAGAAACCAATGGAAGCAATTAAGTAACTCCCATGCAAGCTCCCATGCAGGGACTGAAAAATCAAAATGCCCATGAAATTGTTCCTATTGTCACAAGAAACTGCCACAAGAAATATTCCAGAAAGAGCCCCTTACATATTTAAAGAGACTTTTCACTATGAACTTTAAATAGAGTCAGCTTTTCATCAGCTCAATCCAATCCTGTATATTTAAATGGTTGTAACCTTTTACATTTACAAATGCACTTATTGGCCATCTGAACATGCTAGGGTTTGTTTTTGGATGATTGCATTAGCCATTTCATAGCCTCTTGTAAAAAAAATTCCTAATAAAGCTTGTATTTTGCTTTGTGCAAATAAACTTGATTCCTCAAGACTAATATTTGATTGATATTATCAAATTTCATCAGATGCACAAAGGTCAACAGTCAATGCAAAGCTTTTCAATCAGATGTTCATAAGGTTGAAATCCTCAGAAACTATGGCTGAAATTCACAGGCAAATTGCTTCAGAGTAGCCTCATTACTTTTAGGCAAAATAAGCTGCCCATCTCTTAAATAGAAGAGTTTGAAAGTTACATTGTGTCTATGCAGTTGAGATATCAGCCTAGCACTGACAGCAGGAGAGACCCTGCCTCACCACATGGGGTTCAATGCTGGAGGCATTTGCCAGATGTTTGGGTGTTGCAGATGGAGCCATCAGTGGAGCAGTCCTGCTCCAATCACTGCTGCTTACTTTCCTCTCCTTCCTTCTTTCCCTGCTTGGTGAAAGTTGAGTCACCAGCTTACCATCACCAGCAAGAAAGAGCCCACAAGAGAGAGCCCAAGAGGCAGACAAGAGGGAAAATTGGTCCAATGCAGTCTCCAGCTGGGAACTATGTAACCCAGCTCTTCAACACTCATGGGGGGGGGTACTGTGGGCTGTCTCTTGCTGGCAGTGGCCAGTAGTGAAAGAAGGAAGGAGGAAAGGGGTGGCGACATCCCAATAGTAAAAGTAGTTAGAGCCAATGACAGGCAGAGTCAACTAATTCTAGTTTTGTCCCTATCCTCCTCCCTGCCAAGTTCTACAAAGGGAAACACTGAGACAAAGGAAGAGAAAGCTGAAAGGCAATCCCATCCCAAGGACTGGTTATAAGAAAGAAGGTAGGCATGTTGGGGGCTGGTTGAGGTTGTTGGGGCAGTTCCTCCTTAGTCCTAATGGACTAGCCTCCACTGTTAATTGATTTAATGTGTGGACGCGGGTGGCGCTGTGGTCTAACAAGAACGTGAACTCATTCAGGAAGGTGTCACATTCCCTTCACTTTGTCATACAAAGCAGAAAGGCACATGTTGACGGCCTTATTGCTTTCTCCTTCCATGCTGCCTATACAGATAGCATAATCTTTTAGATTGAATCCATGCAATATATGATGCCATAAAACCTGATATGGAAGATCATCCTTTTATCCTTCATAATCTTTTCCCTCTCCCCCAATTCATAAAGCTTTGCTTTCTGACCCCTGAATAGCTTCTGCACGAGACCATGTTATGCTGCTGGGTTCCTGATTGTCTGAGAAACACTGCATAACAGCCAGTTATGGATGCAATCAACTGTAATTTCACTTATCTCTTGAGATTAGCATTTGGAGGTTTGCTAATGCAAATGAAATGCATGCACTGTTTTGCATTTAAACCATTTTATGAGCATTATGTCTCCAAAAAGCCCCATTCTACAGTTATGGCATACAATAGCATTTTATTTTTATTTGCATCTGCTTCATCCCAATGCGATAAGAAATAAATGCTGGCTTTTACTGACTTATTTTACAAGAATATTACAGACTTCAGGAAGAAAACAATATAGAGGACATTCATAATATTAACAGTTCATGGCCTCAGAGAAGCATGGAAGAGTTGTTTTACAGGCTTATGCAGGGATGGAGTGGAAGGCTGTGTCTCATTTTTGAGTGCTACCATTACCCATTAAGCTTCGATGACAGAAACTGTAGCACAAGTTCTGCTTTGCTGTGTTTTTTTCCGTATTACATTTTATAACTTTTCCCAATATGTGATTTCCACCACTAAGAAATTACCACCGCTGCAAGATTTATGTCATTGCATAACTTGCCAAGTGCTCCTTTTAAAGCCAATCAATTTTCGTTTTTTCCTCAGATCATTAAAAATATATATAGCGCTGTTTGAAGTCTTCTGCAGGAACAAATGAACCAAACCTTAGAAGCTGCCTTTTATTGTTAGTCCAGCAAGCCCAACATTGTCTATACTTTCGCTCTCCAGAGTTTCACACAGGAGTCTTTCCCCAATGCTGGAACTGGTTGAACCCAGATCACTTTGGACACAAAGCATGCATACCACTGATGTACAATCTATTCCCACAAGTCTGTATCCGTCAAGGCCCCTCAGGCTTATACACACCAGAAGCAAGAAGGTAGACCACAATCCACCAATGGGCTAATGGGCATGGCCAATTTCTGATAGGTTCCCAAGTGCCGGACTCTTGTAAAGAATGTTGGACTAGATCAGCTTGGTGCCCTCCAGATGTTTTGGACCTCTGCTCCCATCTGTAACCTCTGTACAGCTCTGTACATCTATACCTCTGCACAGTCGAAACTCTCCCCATCCCTAGAAATTTCTCCATGGATGTTGAAGTTCTGAATTACCTGGTTTTGTTTCTGAAGTAGAACTGGTGAATGAGAAATTCTTCATTACTCTGAGTTTTGTAAAATTTTGTGTCTGGATTTTGTATGAAGGCCTTTGCCCCTACAGCCAGGAATAAAGAGAAGGGCACACATGGTGGGTTAATTAAAGAGCCACAGCTTTTATCCAACTTATTGAGACTTATATTTTATATGGCCAATGTATTTAAACTGGCTTACACCCTGGTGCCAATTTACCCCAATTCACTCAATAAAATAGCGTAGTATAGTGGATTCCATCGTGGGTTGGATGGCTCACATAAATAAAAATAAATTAGTTGGAAATGAGAGTTTTCACAGCTTAAACCTGTGTGTTTGGTATCTGTATGGAATAATTGTGGTTCAGATAGGAGATACATACACACACACACACACACACAGAGAGAGAGAGAGAGAGAGAGAGAGAGAGAGAGAAATGAATTTGAGTCCAGGATCAAAGCATACAGGTAAAGATGACACTAATCCCTTTTGTACTGTATCATGTTTCATTCTATCTTATCAACAGACTGCTTCTGAGATCACAAACTCCACCTGACTTGCTCATGCTTCCACCATCTTTGCCCATGAAAACTTTGCTGTGTTGCTATGGTGGGGCATGTAATGACACCTAGCGGTCAGAAAAATCCACTACACATGCATAATCCCTTTGGTTCCCTTTCAGGGTGTCCTTCCTCAAATATTTTATGCGATGCGAACCTAATGAATATTGCTGCTTTTCAAGCCAACCTCTAAACTTTTGTAGAGTCTACAGTTTGAGTCTCGGATGATTTGAGATGACTAAGATGAAAGCAGACTTTCAAAAGCTTCTGAAACAGCCTTTCAAGCCAATGAGCCAGTGAGCATATAGTTTGGAGAGTGAGGACTATCAACAGTCATATTCATGTATCATCACAAATGAAGGATGCCAATCATTTGTCTGTGAAAGTTACAGAATATGAAGGACAGAAGGGGGAGACACAATTCTCTGGTTCTTCTAGTGCTGAGGAAATGGACCAACCCATATTGGGACTTCAGAGAAGTGGCAGAGAAAAACGTTTCAGAGTTGGGGATCTGGCTGAATAAAGGTGAAAGCAGAGCAGCAGCAAAGGAACAATGTGTCTGAGAGGGGAATGAAACCATTAGAGGCTAGGAGGAGCACCAAGGAGAATAAGAACAACCAAGTCTGAAGGGGAAACTCCTGGAGAAGTAGTAAAGAGTGGGGGAATGGATTAATTTCAGAAAGTCAATGCATTCACATAGTTATTTGTAAATTGCTTGTAATAATTTAACCTGTAATTGATGGAGTGATCTAGTTTTTATTTCCTTGCTGATATATTGTTGGTACTGCCTTGCATGCGAAATGGATCCATGAATTATGTTAGCTTGTTATTAGCTTGAATTCTGTTGGCTTATTATTGATTTCTTATAGGATAGCAAAGTGATTTTTGTTGTATATATTTTCTCATTTCTACAGATTGCATATTGCTGTTGAGTACAGTATTCTTTGGATACTGAAACTTTTTGGGGAGGGGGGTCCTCACCCATTTTAGGTACAATAAAAAGTGAGAATTGGGGGAGCTTATTTAAAAAACCACCTTACTCTGCAAAATCTGGATCCTTTCTCCCTCTCTCTGTGAAGGGTGTGACAAACAATGTTTGCGTTTCTCAGCGTCTATAATATACGTAAGTTGTTTTCATATTGCATTCTTTAATATAATTGTATGTTGCCTTGGGTGTTTTGTCAGCTGAAATGTGGCCTATACATTTTAATGTAAATAAATGAATTTGGTTGACAGGATTAGTGAACTAGTGACTCAAAAACAGGATTCCCACCAGAACTTGTCACAGATCATCAGGAACCAGAACTACCATCCAATGTATTTCCAACACCATCATATTATCTTAAGTACCACATTCATCCATATGAACCTACCTGGGCATTGAGATTAGCATTTCAAACTCTCCTCTGGTCTATCAATAGCAAAGATTAGATTCATTCCCAGACACCTAGTGGTGGCACCAGAAAATGGTATTGTGGCACTGACAACACACAACAGCTGAAAGATACATTATGTTCCTGGATCTTTAGACAATCAGAGTTTCTGGAATGAGTGAGTGAGTGAATGGATGGATAGATGGATGGATGACAAGGCCAGCAGAATGAAAAGGCCTCTGCATTAGGTGTTCGTTTTGCATTGTTTTAAAACTTACCTTCAGTTTATTTTCACTGTATGGACTGCTTTTTAAACTATTTTAGCTGTTTTCATTGTGTGTTTGTAAAGCACCTCAAGATGTATGTAAAAGGCGACTCATAAATAAATAACCAATTTTAATCTAGAGGACAAATTAATGAAACAACATAAGGTTACTAATTATGTTTTGAAGTGAAATATCACTTTTTCTAAATTAGCAATTAGCCAAGCCAAGCAGCAGCAAAGCAAAAATAGCCTAGAAAACAATTCAAATTAAAATATAGTTTAAAACATGAGAGAGATTTTAGCATTTAAATTGCAGGCTTGAGCCAAGATTGTCTACAGCTAACAAATGTACAGAGAGGTTTCCTCAAACTTGATTTGGATTCAGAAGCTGACAACGAAACCCTCCATTTTATCACATCGCCTTCTGGGCAGCCTGCTGGAAGCTGCAGGCCTGTGATGAGCAAGGACCAAAGGCAGAAGCAGCTTGCTGGTGACAAATAGCTGCTGCTCTAGCTTCTCAGCAAGTAGGCCCCTGTTGTCTACTAGGAGGGAGAAAGGGAGGCCCAAGGTGGTTGTGGGGTTGGCATGGGGCAAAGTCATCAACAGGGACAGTGCGGTGTTCCTGCCAATGCATTTGCGCTGCACTGGCCAACTCACCACCTCTCTCCTCTCACTCCTTGTAAGCAACAGTGACCCATTTGCTAGGGAGCTAGAGTAGTAGCTCTGTCCCTCCCAGTGGGTCATTTCTGGCCAGAGGCAAAAGTGGGGTAGGAAGCAAAACTGAGGAGAGCAAGAATCTCACCTTTATACAGTTGGCTGCATTCCAGACATGCAAGTGCCTTACGCACAGACATCTTTATATCTTCCATGCAGTCCAGGAAGAGGCATTATCCCATTTCAAGAACCCATCCCTGCCAGGAAAATCACTCATTGTGATTGTGAGCAGGAGCAGCACATCCAGCTTCATCACCTGAAGCAGGATGCGTCACCCTGCTGCCGCCGCCACTGCCACCAGCACTGCCATACCTGCCACCCCCTGCACCACCCGCTGTGCCACTGTGTGTCCTGCAGCAATTGCTGCTGGTGGAGAAGTAGCGCTGGCACCAGTGTGAATTTGGGGTGAGATCACACCAATTTGGGGCGACGTCTCGCCCCAAATGGATATGGTATTGCCTGAAATGGATACCGACGCCACTTCTACGCCCCCTATAAGAATAGAAAGGCATTCAGTGCATGTCTGATGTTTCAAGTACAAAGCTGGGCCCACCTCAAACAACAGTTGAAGAATTGGCTGTATAAATATAGTGTTTCTATTAAACTCTATTATTCACGTTCAGTGTTGTGGTTCTATGCCAGGGATCAGCAAAGTTTTTGTGGCTTGGGCCGGTTCACGGTCCCGCAGATGCCGTGGTGGGCTAGAGTGTGCGTGCATGCGCAGATGTGCAAACGCTATTTCTGGCACTCCTTCTGGCACGGAGGAGGCATGCACAGCTTCCCATTGGCTGCAGGAGCTTCCTGCAGCCAATGGAAAGCCAGCCAGTGTCGCGGAAGGCAGTCCCCGCTCTGCTCCGCAACGGTTTAGCATGGCACATGGGAGCTGCCCAAGTGGGGGGCGGGGGTCCCCGAGCGGAAGGCGGGGGTCTATGGGCCGGTTAAACAACCCCCATGGGTTGCTTGTGGCCCATGGGCCTTAGGTTGCCAACCCCTGTTCTATGCTATAAGAGTCTATGACTCAGTTATTCTTATTGCTGCGGCTCTCTGGAATAATCTCTTAGTGAGATTAGCACTATATGATAATGAGTTTTCCAAGTGACACACACTATGGCCCAGTCTGCACATAATGGTAAACCAAACTCTTGCTGAGTGAATGAGCAAATGTGCGAGATCTCCCCTAGACAGATCACAAGGGGTAATCCCATGACAAACTTTAGTTGGAGCTCATAGTTTGTTGGGAGTGAGCAGGAGCAGCAGGACGGAAGGAGGAGCTCATCTTTGCTCCTTAGCACTAAACCATGGTTTGGCTTAGTGTGGCATGCAGACCAGGTCAGTGATCAACAATGGTGATCTAAGCGATGTTGCCAAAGTTATTTTCAGCCATTTCAACTCAGTGTATTTTGGGAAGTGACTCAAAAGAAGTTTCCAGGTCTTTTGTATTTCCTTCAAGTCCTCCATGCTTCAATCTAGCTCTCCTTTCCTCATTAGGCACGCCATTCATTTTAAAAATAGACTAAAATATACCCTTGCTCTTCTGGATATATTGGGCTGAATTAATATCACGACATGAATCCATAAGCACCTTTGCTTCTGACATCTTCACAGAACATAGCAAGGCAGAAGAGCAGTGGGGCGTATGATATTTTATCTTTGTAAGTTTGATTGAATGCTATGGGGAATGAGGTTGATTTAATTTTATTTGTAAATGGAAAGGCATGTTTATTGAGGAAAGTGGATAGGTTGACTGACGGGGCGCTAAGAATATGAGGTTCACAAGACTCCAATTAGTGTAATCCATATATGTGTTCAAAAGAAAAGGGCCTTTTGAAAATGTCAGTCTTGTTTGTTCTGGAGTGAAATTTAATTTGCTATGCACAAAGGAATGTAAATTTTATTCCAGTGTGAGCCTGACATTGTTTTAGAGTTTTGGAATCAAGGTATATAAAAAGAGGCAGTGAAACATCCAGTGTGTGACAGTTTTAGACCAGATGTATATTTTATGTGTGAGAAGTTCAGTAGCTCGGAGCTGAAACTGCTTTGTTTATGTGAAATGCAAGTCGGAGGACAATCTTTCACTTTGTGACTGTTTTATGTTAGAAGGAGAGGGGATTACACTTTCTTCAGGTTTAGAATGATAATGATTCAGCTGAGAAAATTATATTGCTGATTATTATTTCTTTATTTAAGGTTGTGGAACACTTGAACGAGTGCCTAGAAGTGGTTTTGGGATGGATGAGGGCAAACAAACTGAAGCTTAATCCAGGCAAGATGGAGGTACTGGTGGTAGGGAAACTGATTGATCTAGATAAAGAATTACAACTGGTCGTGGAAGACATATCACATGCAGTAAGAATTAACTGGGCATTTTTGGTTTCAGAGCTCCTTTAATTTCCATGTCAAGAAAGCGCTTCTTTTCTCCTGTGTTCTGTGTTTTTCTAGGGGAGAGATGTGTGTGTGTGTGTGTGTGTGTGTGTGTGTGTGTGTGTGTGAAATGTGGCTCTTCAACTTCCCTACCCAGCCTTCAAAACTCTTCCTAGATACCACTTCTCCACTGTCTTTGCTCCATATCCTCCTTGATTTTCGCTGGGCTGGAATTGTTGAACTGTGATTATGTCCCTTGCTTTACTGGATGGAGCTGTGGTTGTGTGGAAACTTCTGGCCCGTGGCTGCTTAAATGTAGCCTACAGTACAAAGGCTACATCCATTGCTCTGCCCATTTTTTGCCTCTGCTTCTGCCTAATCCTTGTATCTGGCTTAGCTGACCACTGGCACACGGGCCCCTGGAAGTCACAAACATAATGGATATTGTTATGGACTGGCTGGATGCTGAGGAGTGGTGAGAGACACCAGCTGGGGAACCCCAGCGGCATCCCCAGGGGAAGAAGGCTCAGAGCCAGGGGATTGGTGGTGAGACGATGATGAGTGGTCAGAGGGAAAAGATGGTGCAGACTTGGAGGAGGAGTCAGAAGCTAAAGAGGCAACAGGGATTAGTGAGCAGGGAGAGACTGTGGCAGATAGTAGTCAAGAATCAGACGCAGAAGCGGAGGCTGGAGAGGAGCGGGGCCAAGAGGCAGAGATGAGGGAGGTTGCTGAAGAAGCCAGAGGGTCTCCCCCTCCTGTTGTGATCAGGTCTGCCGGTCTCCTAGAACATGAAGAAGATGGAGCAAAGAGGCTGCTGGGGAAGGAGGCAAGACCTACTGAGAAGAGTTGCTGTGATCACTAGGCCTGCGGTGTTTTGACTTCTTTGAATAAAGATTTAACTTCACTGACACCAGGTGTTCTATTGCTGACCCGCTCCTGACTCCCACACCTGACAGATATCTATTTCTGAATGAGTATTTGCAACTTTGCCATCTTGACACAGATACAAAATGTGCATCCACATCAACACAATTGATTAGATACTTCTTGTTCACAGCACCAAAGGCACCTCCAGGTTTGGGGAGCTCTCAGGCCAGCTGGCTCCATGCCTCCCTCTTTAACTGGTCACCACAGTCACCACTGCCCATTCACTCACCTTTGCCCTCTGTACTCAACCAAGGTAACGACTCATGCTATTGTCCCTGTTTGCAAGCTCAGAGAGGGAAAGTAAATAGGCAGTGATAGCAAATAGGAGCAGCAGCGGGAAAAGGGGACCCTAGGAGTTGGCAGAGGACCACCTGGTGGGATACGGGTCCCAGCAGATGCCCAACAATGACCACTGCTGGCACAGGCTCTGCATGGCTTTCTTGTGCTCATGGCTGTATTTGGATCAAGCCTTCTGGTTTCATGTTTTTCTCATCGGCAAGCACCCAGATGTTTACGTTTCTTTCAAATTGAAGATTTGGCTGGATGCAACATTTCGAAATAGGAATTAAACTGGATTTTGAGGACTTCCTCAAGATTA